TATTCAGTATAATCTCTGTCAAAATACCAATGTTATTCTTCACAGAAACAGAAAAAACAATCCTGAATTTTTTGAAGCCACGAGAGCCTCCAAATAGCCAGAGCAAACCTAAGCAAAAACAACTCTGGAGACATCACACTACTTAACTTCTAAATATGCTACAAAGCTATGATAACCAAATCAGCACAGCATTGGCATAAAGTGGACACATATACCAATGGAATGGAACAGAGAATCCAGATATAAATTTACAGCCAACTCATTTTTGACAAGGCTGTCAAGAACATGCAGTGGAGATAGGACAGTCTTTTCACTAAATGAGGCTGGGAACACTTGATAACCATATGCCAGAAGAATGAAACTCGATTCCTATTTCTCACCATAAACAAATCCAATAAAAATGAATTACAGACTTAAATATAAGACCTGAAATTATGAACTACTAGATGAAAACATTGGGGAAATGCTCCAGGAGATTAATCTGGGCAAAGATTTTTTTTATAAGACCTCAAAACCAGCCGGGCTCGGTGGCTCAGCCTGTAATCCCGCGCCTTTGGGAGGCTGAGGTGAGTGGATTGCCTGAGCCCGCGGGTTCGAGACCCGCCTGGGCAGTGAGACCTCATCTCTACAATAAATCAAAAAATCAGCCGGGCGTGGTAGCGCGTGCCTGTAATTCCGGCTACTCGGAAGGCTGAGGTGGAAGGATTGCCGGAGCCCAGCAGGTCGAGGCTGTGGTGGCCATAGCGGCCACTGCACTCCAGTCTGGGCGATGGAGTGAGACTCCAACTCAGGAAAAAAAAAAAAAAAAGACCTCAAAACCACAGGTAACCAAAGCAAAAATGAACAGATGGGATTACATCAAGCTAAAAAACTTGTACACAGCAAAGAAAACAGTCAACAAAGTGAAGAGACAATTCATGGAGTGGGAAAATATATTTGCAAGCTACCCATCTGACAAGATAGTATTAACCAGAATAAATAAGGAGCTCAAACAACTCAATAGCAAAAAAATAATAATCTAATTTTTAAAATGGACAAAAGAACTGGATAGACATTTCTCAAAAGAAGACAAATGGCCAACAAGTATTTGAAAAAATGCTCAACATCACTAATTATTAGAGAAATGTAAATCAGTTGTAATGAGATGTTATTTAAGCCAGTTAAAATGACTTTTAGCAAAAAGCAAAACAACAACAACAACAAAAACGGAATATCAGATGCTGGAGAGGATGTGGAGAATGGGGACCTCTCTTGTACTGTTGGTGGAAATATAAATTGATGCAGCCAGCATGGAAAATTGGAAATTCCTCAAAAAACTAAAAATAGAACTACAATAAAAAACTAAACTAATAAAAACAAAAGAAAAAGGCAACCCTTTCAGATTGGAAATACATATATCCCCCAAACATATATATATACACTAAATAACTTGTATCCAGAATATATATGGAACTGTTAGAACTCAACCCAGTAAAAATGGGCACAAGATTTCAATGGACACTTCACCAAGAAGATTCATGAATGGCAAATAAGCATTTTAAAAGATGCTCAGCATCATTAATCATTGAGGTAATGCAAACTAAAGCCACAATCAAATATCATTACACACTTACTGGAATGGCTGAAATTAAAAATACTGGCAATACTACGTACTGGGGAGGCGATGTAATAACTATAACTCTTATAGATTGCTCATGGAAATGCAAAATGATACACTTGGGAAAACAGTTCGACAATTTTTTATTACTTTAAACATACACTTACCATATGAAGTATTGGTTTACTCCTGGGTATTTATTTACTTAAGAGAAATGAAAGTTTTTTTCAACATAGAGACTTGTACTAGAATGTACATAGCAACTTTATTAATAACAGTAAAAAATTGGAAGGGACCCCAAATGTCTATCAACCAGTAAATGAAGTATGAACTTGTTAAAGTGAACAAACTAGTGATAAACACAAAAATATGGGTGAGTCTCAAAAGCATCATGCCAAGTCAAAGAGACTAGACTCAAAAGACTACATACTGAGTCCATTCATAGGAAATTCTTCAAAATTTAAAGTGATAAAGGCAGATGACTGGTTGCCAAGGACCAAAGGGTCTTGGGAGACAATTGACTGCAAAGGAGCAAAAGGAATTTTTTGTGTTGATGGAATGTTTCTGAATCATGATGGGAGTAGTGATCATTTCAGTAAAGCTGATTTTTTTTCCAGCAGGTGAAGTGCCTGTTTCTTGTTTACCCAATCTTTGCTGAGCTCTTTGGCCCTCAGTCCCACTCCAACATGTTACCTGGAGCTGTCTCCCAACTTTAGCTTTAACCTTTTATGTTTAGTGCCTTCCTACCCTGTTGCTGTTCAGGGTCCCATTCTCTCTTTGCTGAATTCTCTGTCCTCCACACTAATATATTAAATAAATCTTTTTAATATATTAAAGGCAAGACCTAGAGAAGGCCTCATCTTAATACATTGGCAGAATAGTAATTATTAAGATGGCATAAGTTTTTTAAAATCTAGAAACGCTTGTTTTTCTAAAAATTGTCTCACTCATAAAATGTTGGAAATAGATATCTTCAGATGGAGATCTAGATCTCCAGTTTGCTAAATTAATCTCTGGGGATGGTCTAAGGAATCTTTATTTTAAATATTTCAATAACTGACTTTACTGATCAATCAGGCTTAGAAACTACTGCAGTAGGTAGTTTCTGACTGAGTCTTTTAAAGATAAATAGACAAATCAAATTTCCTTTTTCCATGCCTTTTCTCAGACTTCACTAAGGAGTATTTATGCAGATTTCATGGAAAGTCTTTGCAGAAGACTTTTTTCATATGTCATTATCCATTATATCCACAGGTGGTCCTTTTACTCTCTAAAGGAAAGCAGGATATTAGGGGGCTAATTTTTTTTTTAAGTGAGAAAACAGAATTTATTGAGAGGACAGAAAAGCTCCCACAGTAGGAGGGGACCCAAGGGGGTAGCCTAAGGGGGCTAATTTTATTAGGTGCCTCTATGTGACAGATCTTTTACAAGGGCTCACGTTTGATCCTTATAGATGGTAAAATTAGATTTAGAGATGTTAGTAACTTGTCCAAGGACATAGCTAATAAGTGGCAGGAGTGAATTTGTATGCTTGACTTTAAACAAGGGGGTTTTTCTTTATACTGTTCTACCTCTAAGTTGCTGGAACAAATAAGGGCTTATGCTTAATCATTTCTACTGGCCTATTTCCTCCTAAATTTCTCTGCCTCTCCATCCTTGAACACAAGCAGAAAGATAAAAATCCACTGACCCATGATATGTCTCCATTTTAACAAAATCCTGTTGAGAAGGTTTTTCAATAGTTTGAGTCACATGCTTGCCTCTTGCAAGTGATATCATTGGCTGTTTTTTACTAACTGACTTATACCATAATCTAATTAGTAACCATGCTTAACTTAGATCAGTTATAAACTTCTTCTTCTTCTTTTTTTTTTTTTGAGTTGGAGTCACACTCTGTTGCCCAGACTGGAGTACAGTGGCTGCTCCCGGCCATCACAGCCTCGACCTGCCTGGGCTCCGGCGATCCTTCCGCCTCAACCTTCTAAGTAGCCGGAACTACAGGCATGCACTACCACGCCCGGCTAATAAGCTTCTAATACACAACTTTAAGTTACTCAGGGCAACCTTATTTATATTAGAAACTTTTTTCTCCAGAAAAGTCACAATCTCTTTGACATAAATGTCCTTTTCTGCAAAATAATGGGATTAGAGTAGATTATTTCTAAATTTCTCTCTATCTTTAATATTCTGTAAATATAAATCTGTCATTTAGGGAACGTATTTCCAGAAGGAGAGTATTAGAATGGATATTAGGTCCCTAGCATACAACCTCTTGAACAAGTGATATACCTAAAATATAGTCAAAATAGAACTTTATTCAACTACATCTAATGGCAATTTACAATACAGTTTATAATATAATGTAGTCCTGAAGCCACTCTTGTCCCCTTTTCTACCCCATCCTCTAGCAGCTTAGGGAAGGACAAAGGGTACACTAAAGATACAGTGTACATCTTTCTGGATATCAATAATTCCACATTTACACACAAGCAGCTTAATCTGCATATCTAGAATCGTGCTGTCCAACTTGATAGCAGCTAGCTACTTTTAGTTATTTAACTTTAAATAATTAAATAGAATTTAAAAATTATTTATCTATTGCAGAAAGTTCTGCTGGGCAGTACTGATCTGGAATTGAACCTACCCATTCCTACGTCTTACTTCAAGGAGGGCATCATATTGTACTTCCATTCTGTTACCAAGTAAAAGAGGCTTGCTTTCTAATGTGCTAGGAGCCAATCCTACGACACTGGGTTTTTGAAAAAAGAATGCTTTTTAGTGCAAGTCGACCAAGACCAAAGTCCAGCTCAAATCTGTCTCCCTGTGCTGGCTTTAAGGCAATAGTTTTATTAGAAAAGGTTTAGAGGGTAGATTCTGGGAGTCGTAGGTGATTGATGGGAGGTCTAGAAAGTCCTTGGGCATGTGCAGTTATCTCTTCATGCTTCCTCATGGGAGGCATGTACACATTTGGGGGAAATTAGTACAAACTTTGGTAGAAATTTGGGCAGTGATGTCAGCAGACTTGCTTTATGCAGACTCTTGTTGGCCATACAAGTTCTAACCGATTTCAGCCAGTTTTTAAAAATCTCATGAATGTAGAGAGTTTCAGCATTTCAGCAAGTTGTTTCTTTTCTTATCTGTCATCCTATAAGCTCAAAATTTTCTGTTAGTCACTGGTTTATTTAACTCTTTGGGGGCATGTTTGGTTCTCTTATGAGGATCAATCAGGCCAAATTGCCAAGTTTATAGTTGCCATATCAAATTTAATAAAAAATTTCTTGTCCTCAATTTGAAAACTTTTTAAAAAATAACTTTTAATGCTTAGTAGTAGTGTCTTGTGATGAATCAGAAATTATTTCTCTTAGGTGTCTGTAGAGATAACTATGAAAAAAATACCTTGTAGGCAGCTGAGACTCTACTAAAAAATGGAGCAAACCCTAATCAAAAAGATCAAAAGCAGAAGGCTGCTTTGGATGAAACAGATGATGAAAAAATGAAAGAGTTGTTAAAATCTTATGGTGCAATTGAGACCAATATCAGAGATGAGAGTAATGCTATAGTCAATGGTATGTATATCAATATTGCTTGTTATTTTATACAAGTGTGAACCTTTACTTGGGAAAACAGAATTTTTTATTTGTAGTATAAATTGTTTCATAACTGGGGATAGATGTTTTCTCTGTGTATTAAACTGTTTAAAGGACTTTTTTTGCAGTTAACATTTTCAAATTTTGTTTAGTTTATACACCATATGATTCCATTGGATTGGAGTTACATGTTGAAATGAAACCTCTGTCATTCATTAATTAGTCTCCTTAACATTGGGTGTGAGATAAAGGTGTAATTGAAACCAGGCATATCAGTTTATTTCTAGTGGGGCTGGAAAATGGTGACATGATACCGAAGTCTTTGCGACTAAAACTCCATTACTTTAAAATTTGTAATGATTCATGCATCAGTTTGACTCATGACAACTTTTTAAGAATCTGATACTCTTTTTTTTTCATTTTTTAACTTTTAATTTTTTATTTTGAAGATGTAGGATGCAATTCAGCGTTAGGTATACAAATAGAATCTGATATTCTAATACTCGCATATTAGTTTGTTAAACAAATATACTTTTGTGTGTGTGGCATATATTATAGTAAAAAGAATACTTCAAGGGGGTATACAGCCAGGCAAAACTTTATTAAGGAATTTTTAGAAACAGTTTGCATATTATTACATTTTGAGGAGAGAGAATTGTTCTTCCTTTTCCCTCATTTTTGATCCTTGACTCATGGAAAAAGATACTCAGGAATATATGGGCTTTCACTATGAGGGAGAATGCTGGGGAGAGAAATCCTATCGCACACTTCTCCTCTAGCCTCGTAACATCTTTACCAACTGATTTTGAAGGAAGAATTGTTCATATGATTGAACAAAGCCAAGGATAATCATTGTGTCGTCTATTACTAGTGGGCTACTTCACATGTTGGTCAAGGTCAAGATTGATAAAAGTTTCTTCTTTTCGTTTCTTGCTACCAAATAATAAGTCCATGGGTGAGGGCTTTTCTTAGGGCCCCAGCCATTTTACTCTCCCTCTCCACATCATACCTGAAGGTTCAGAGAGGTTGATTAAATAAGCTCAGCTTACCAGAGAAATCTTGTGTTTGGAGTTATTGGGCACTCTTTTAGAAAGTGCTGTGTCTGTTCCCACATGGCTATTGTTTCTTGTTTCCTTGGTCAGGTACCCAAGATGAATGAAGGATATAGAGTGCAACGGTAATATGTAGAAAGGGAGTCCAGAGTAAGAGAATGGTCCAAGAGAACTTTATAGAGCAGTGACTCATAGACAGTGTTGACCATGGACCTTGGAGTCAGATACGATTTGGTTTCAATACTAGCTCTGTAACATTGAGCAGCTTCCTGAACCCTTCTAAGCTTCACTTTCTTCTTCTGTAATCAATATATTAAACTACGTACCTCACAGGGTTCATATGAAGATTAAAAAACATAATTTATGGAAAGTATTTAGCATCCAGCATGTGCCTTGAAATAATCAATTAGTAATAATAATGAGGTGCTGATTAATATTAAGATTTTATAATTGTAGACAATTTATCTTTCCCATCCCTGTAACCATTAAATCTGATAAAATTAAGCCAAATTTTTACACATTCTTATTATATTTTCTAATTTTACTTTTTAAAGTAAAAATTCCTGCTGTCCATTCAAAAAGACATGAACAGTGTTTCTGTGATGATGGCAAAACAGTTGATCTACCTTCCCTTTCACACCAAGAAGAAATAAGAGAAGATCTTCCTGTGGTGAGTGAAGTTGAAATTGTTTCATTCTTTAGCCTAGAAAAGCCATTCTTTGAGCCAGCCAGTTATTGGCCATTGGCAGCACTCTTTCAATTTTAAGGACACACATATTGAAAATGGTTTTTGTCATAATAAAATAAGCTAGCACAATTGAACAGAATGAGCCAAGAAGATATGCTGTATGTGGTTAACTCTTAATTATCTGCATTGAATACAGAACTATGGATAAACTGCTGTCCTTTATACCTAGCTCGAGTTCTTTAGCTACTTGTCCCACAGACCCTGCCACTGTCTTAGTGTATCTTTACTAACTCCCCAAAATGTCTAGGATACATAGGACATAGAAAAGATTCTGGAACCCAGACAGAGAAGAGAAAAGCAACCTTGGTTAGCTGTCCTGGCTCCCACATCATTTATAGTGATATAGTTTGCTGTGAAACGCACCATGTAAAGGTTATGTTATTTTACAAAAATAACATAACAGTTGCTCAATAAAGTATATATTGATTGATAACATATATATTCTTAGTTTGACAAAAACAGAAAGCTTAACTAGAGACAAACTTCCAAGCAAGATAGCATCCTCAGTGAAATATTATTTTGAATAAGTTTTGACCTGTGGTTGCGAAGACTGAGTATATCCACAATATGAGCAATCCAGAAAGGAAAGTTAGCACCAAAAGATGTTTTCTTTATTCTAACCTGTGGATAGAGGCTTAGTCTGGATACAAGTTCAGGCCTTTAGTTTGCTTTTTATAACCATAATCCATTCACTGTATAAAGAGGTAAACTTTGTTTTTTTGGGAGGTTTTTGTATATTTATATTTTACAGTTTCACTTTGATGCATTTAGTAAGTGACTGCAGTAAGATTACCTTACCAAATCATTAGGTAATTTTATTATGTACATTTTTCATAACCTTTATGGGCACCAATGTAAAATTTCAGAGCAATATACATCAGAAAGCTTTGAGAACCTACACATTTTAGAAATTAATGTGTATTGAGAATATATTAAAGGATAGGTAATATGAGTTAATCTATCAGTCATCATTTATGGAGAAATAGCTATGAACCCAGCAATGTAGAAACCATATGCAAATTCAAAAGCCAGGCTCCTACCTATAGTATTTTATTATCTTGATAAGGAAATGTAATATATAAGATACTATACATATTAAATGTAGCACTGAAGTTTTTAACATTTTTATTTTATTATAGGAATTTAGGGTATAAGTGAGGGTTATCTACATAAGTAGGCTGTATGTGGGTAAAGTTTGGACGTCTTACTGGCCCTCACTCCAAGTACTTTTTGTGTTCAAATGCCCCCCACCCTCCTCCCTTCTCTAGCAGTGCCTAGTGATGGCCTATCAATCCCTCTCTTGTGCTAATGTGACTAATGTTCAAGACCCACTTATGAGTGAGAACGTGAGGTATTCAGTTACTTGTTTCTATGATAGTTCACTTAGTATGGTCTTCAACTGCATCCAATTTGCTGTGAAGTCTATGATTTTCTTGTTCTTAATGGCTATGTAATACTTCATCATGTGTATGTACCACATTTTCTTTACCGAGTCTACTTTCACTGGGCAGTAGGGTTGGGTCCACGTTTTTGCTATTATGAGTAGTGTGGTAATAAACATGCGTATGCGGGTGTCTTTTTTTTTTTTTTTTTTTTTTGTAGAATGATTTATGTTCCTCCAGGAGAGGGATTTATATTCTCAGGAGAGGGATTGCTGAATTGTATGGAAGGTCAATTTTTAGTTTTTTTAGGAATCGCCAAACTACTTTCCATAGAGGTTAAACTAGCTTGAATTCCCACCAACAGTGTAGAAACATTCCCTTTTTACCACACCTGCACCAACATTTGTTGTTTTTTGACTTATTATTGATTGCCATCCTTACTGGAGTTAAGTGGTATCTCATTGTAGTTTTGAGTTGCTTTTCTCTTCTCTGTCTGGGTTCCAGAATCTTTTCTATTTCCTGTGTATCCTAGACATTTTGGGGAGTTAGTAAAGATACACTAAGACAGTGGCAGTGTCTGGAATAGCTTAACTTCTTTTCTTATTTGAACATCCTTTATTTCCTTCTCTTGCCTGATTAGTGAGGCTGAGTAGTTTTTCATGTGTCTGTTGGCTGTTTGTACGTCATCTTTAGGGAAATGTCTGTTCATGTCTTTTGCCCACTTTTTAGTGGGGTTGTTAGGTTTTTTTTCCTTTCATTTCATTTGAGTTCCTTGTAGATCCTGGGAGTTAGGCCCTTGTCAGATTCATCATTTGCAAATATTTTTTCCTATTCTGTGGGCTATCTCTTTACTCTCTTGATGGTTTCTTTTGCTATGAAAAAGCTTTTCAGTTTGAAGAGGTCCCTTCTTGTCTATCTTAGCTTTTATGGCATTCTCCTTTGGGGACTTGGTCAAGAATGTGTTGCCTATTACAATGTGCATAAGGGTGTTTTCTACATTTTCTTCTAGGATTCTTATAGTTTGGGGTTTTACGTCTAGGTCTTTGATCTATTTTGAGTTGATTTTTGTATATGGGGATAGGTAGGAGTCCAGTTTCAGAAATTCTTCTGCATGTGATCAGCCAGTTTTCCCAGCATCCTTTGCTAAATATGGTCTCCTTTCCCCAGTGATTGTTATTGGTGGGTTTGTTGAAGATGAGTTGGTTGAGAGGACCATATTTTTGCTTCTGGAATCTCTCTCCTGTTCCATTGGTTTATGTGCCCATTCTTTACTAATACCAGGCTGTTTGGGTTACTGTAACCTTGTTTAAAGTCTGGAAAGATGATAACTCTTACTTTGTTCCTTTTGCTGAAGATTGTTTTGACTATTCATACTCTTTTTTGTTTCCATATGAATTTTTCTGTATTGTTCTTTCCAGTCTGAGAAAAATGATATTGATAATTTGATGAATGTTGCATTGAATCTGTAGATTGCCTTGTATAGAATGGACATCTTGATAATACTGATTCTTCCAATTCATGAGCATGGAATGTTTTTTCATTTGTTTGTGTCATCCTTGGTTTCTTTTTGTTATTTTGAGTTGGAGTCTCATTCTGTCACCCAGGCTGGAGTGCAGTGGCATGCTTACAGCCACGGCAGCCTTGGCCTGGTGGGCCTCAACCTTCCAAGTAGCTGGAACTACAGGCGTGTGTCACCATGCACAACTACTTTTTTGATTTATTGTAGAGATGAGGTCTCGCCAAGTTGTCCAGACTGGTCTCAAACCCGTGAGCTCAGACAATCCTCTCACCTCAGCCTCCCAAAGTGCTAGGATTATAGACGTGAGCCACCACACCCAGCCCATCCTTGGTTTCTTTGAGCAGCATTTTGTAGTTCTTATTGTAAAGGTCTTTCACTTCTCTGGTTAGGTGGATGCCAAGGTATTTCCTTTTTTTTTTGGTGGCTATTATGAATGCGATTGTACATTTTCTTTGGTTCTCTGCCTGCTTGTTACTGATGTGTAGAAATGCTACTATCTTTTGCACATTGATTTTGTAACCTGAGATTTTACCCAAGTCATTTATCAGTGTAAGGAGGCTTTTGACAGACTCCCTAGGGTTTTTGAGGTATAGAATCATTCACCCACAAAGAGAAATAGCTTAACTTCCTCTTTTCTTATTTGAACATCCTTTATTTCCTTCTCTTGCCTCATTGCTCTGGCTAGGACCTCCAGCACTATGTTGAACAGGCGAGGTGAGAGTGAGCATTCTTGTCTTGTTCCCATTGTTAGGGGGAATGCTTCCAGCCTCTATACATTGAGCAAAATGTTGGCTGTGTGTTCATTATAGATGACTGTGTGTTTATTATAGATTATTACAGTTTTAAGGAATGTTCCTTCCATGCTCAAGGGTTTTTATCAAGAAGAGATGCTGGATTTTTTCAAATGCTTCTTCTGTGTCTAATAAAATCATGTGGCTCTTGGTTTTACATCTGTTAATGTGCTGAATTAATGTTTATGGTATTGTGAATGCTGAACCAGCCCTGCACCCCAGGAATGAAGCTCACCTGGTCATGGTGGATAATCCTTGAGATGTGTTGTTGGATCCAATTTGCTAGAATCTTGTTGAGAATTTTTGCATCTATGTTCATCAAGGGATTGGCCTGTAATTCTCTTTCCTAATTGGGTCTTTGTCAGGTTGGGGTATCAGTATGATGTTAGCTTTATAAAATGAGTTGGGAGGAATTCCATCATTGTTCTCAATTGCTTGGAATACTTTGAGTAAGATTGGTATCAGCTTCTCCCTGTATGGCTCATAGAATTCAGCTGGGAAACCATTGGGTCTGGGGCTTTTTTTGGTGGGAAGATTTCTTATGACTGAGTCAATTTCCTGGATATTATTGGTCTGTTTAGAGTTTCATTTTCACCTTGTTTTAACCTTGGGAGGTTGTGTGATGTCAGAAAGTCCTCCATTTTATTTAGATTTTCTAGTTTATTTGCATACAGGTGTTCATAGTAATCTTTGATAATCTTTTGAAGTTCTTCAGTTGTGACTTTACCTTTTTTATTTCTAATTGCTTTTTGATATCTCTCTCTCTCTCTCTCTCTCTCTCTCTCTCTCTCTCTCTCTCTCTCTCTCTCTCTCTTTGGCCATCTGGTCAGGGGTCTGTCATCCTTATTTATCCTTTTAAATAACCAGCTTTTTGTCTTGTTGATCCTTTCTGTGATATTTTTGTCTTCTTTACCTTGTAAGTATGATTTTATCTTGGTGAACTGAATTCTTCTGCTGAAGTTAGGATTTAGATTATCTTGCCTTTGCAGCTCCCTTGGATGTGATATTAGGCTGTTTACTTGTGATCTTTCTGTTTCCTTGATGTATGAGTGCAGTGTTGTGAATTTTGCTCTCAACACTGCTTTCATGGCGCTCCAGAGATTCTGATAAGATGTGTCTTTGTTTTCCTTTGTTTCCAGGAATCTTTTTATTTCTGTCTTGATTTCTGTGTTGACCCAGAAGTCATTCAGCTGCATGTTGTTAGTGTATATGTCTTTGTGTATTTTGGAGGAATCTTGTTGGTAGCAATATTTATTTTTATTCCACTGTGATCTGAGAAGATGCATGGTATTATTTTGAACTTTTGAAATTTATTCATGTTGGATTTATGACCAAGGATGCGATCTGTCTTGGAGTATGTTCCATGTGTTGATGAGTAGAATGTATTCTCTGGAGATATTGGGTGGAGTGTTCTATAGATGTCTATAAATCCATTTGATAGAGCATCTAGTTAAGGTTTAGGATTTGCTTATTGGTTTTTTGCCTTGATCTATCTAAAGTGGTTAGTGGGGTATTTAGGTCTCTAACTATGATTGCATGAGAGTCAGTGTCCTCTATTAGTTTACTTAGTAGCTGTTTTATAAAACCTGGTGCCCCTGTGTTGTGTGCATAAATGTTTAAGATGAATATTTCTTGCCAGCAAATTGAGTCTCTCGTCATTATATAGTGTCCTTCCATGTCCTTTTTAACTTTTGATGCTTTGAAGTCTGCTTTGTCTGATATCAGAATAGCTACTCCTTCTTCCTTCTGTTTTCCATTTGCCTAAAAGACCATTTTCCAGCTCCCAACTTTGAGCCTGTTGGTGTCTTTTGCAGTGAGATGAGTTTCTTGGAGGCAGCAGATTGTTGAATCATGCATCTTTATCCAGTTTGCCCCTCTGTCTTTTGAATAGCACATTTAGACCATTCAGATTCAAATCGATTATTGAAATATGAGAGTTTAATCATGTTATAGGACTCTTAGGGGGTTGCTTTGTTTTCCTTTTACTTTAGTATTTATATATGTGTATGTATTTTCATTTTTGTGGGTGTGCTGTATGTTCTGTTGCTTGCCTGTACTTTTGTGATGGGTGTGACCATTCTTTTTTCCCCTGTGTTTAACATCTTCTTAAGGGTCTCCTGAAGGCTGGTCTGGAGATGGCGTATTCTCTTATGGATTGGATGTCTGGGAAGGATTTTAATTCTCTGTCACTGCTGAAGCTTAGTTTGACAGGCTGGGAATTGCTTATCTTTAAGAATAGTAAAGATTGGACTCTAGTCCCTTCTGGTTTGTAGTGTTTCTGCAGATAAGTCTGGACAAATTCTGATGTGTCCTCCCCAGTAGGTGGTCTGACTTTACTCTCTTGCTGCCTTTAGGGTTTTTATTTGAGGCTTACTGTGTGGAAGTGGATTGCGTGTCCTGGACACGGTCTTTCCATTTATACCTTGCAAGAATTGTGTGAATCTCTTGTATTTGAATGGTCACCTCTCTAGCAACATGTGGGAAGGTTTCTTAGATGACCTCATGGCATGCTTCTTCTGTGGTGTTCTCAGTTTCCCTTTCTGCTTGAGTGATTCCAGTCAGGCATAGATTTGGCTTCTCAACATAGCCCAATGTCTCTCAGAGGCTTTACTCCTTCTTTTTGAGATTTTTTCTGTTTTTGACAGACTGGGTTGATTCCATATTTTGGTCTTCAAGCTTGGAGATTCTTTCCTCTGCCTGTTGATGCTACTTCCTGTGCTTGTTACTGTGTTTTTAATGTCCAGGATGAAGTTCTTCATTTCCATTATTTCAGAATGGGCTTTCCTGAAATTGGCCAACTCCACTTTTACTTCTTATGTGACTTTGGTGAGTTTTGCTTCTAGTTTTTATTGGTTCTCTCTGTTCATTTTAGCCATCCAATTTCTGATTTCTGTTACTGTTATCTGGGGCAGGCTGTTCAGGGGGTTTCTGTTGTTTGTGCTCTGATAGCTGCTTTTTCGGGCCCTGTCTCTGTAGTGCTTTGTTGATTTTCCCTCATCTGTGGCAGTCCTCTCTTCCCTTTCTATAATTCCTTTTGGTTTTGTTGCTCTGAAGCTAGTCACAGACCCTCTGTTCTAGGGCGCTTTCTATCATCAGACAGAGGTCACTCAGTGGAGGGATGGGGGAGAGTCACTTCTGCCCCCTACTCCGCCCCGTGGCAGGTTTCTCAGCTGGAGTGGCCCCTGCTGCCAGCACTCTGTGGAGAGTGAGTGGGGGCATGGATCCCCCTCTGTCTGAAGTTTGTAGCCCGAAGCCTTCCCACCAAGAAAGCCTTTGGGGTCTTTTGTGTCACTCCCTTCCTGTTCAAGTCCACAGACTGCTCTTGAAAGAGGGCTTCTCTTGCCATGGGGAAGGGGGAGGGGATCCGTCCTGTAGGCACGCAGGACGTGAGAGTGATTCTTCCTGTTCTGGCTGGGAAGATGGGCTGGGCAGCAGCCAGGTTCACCCTGCAGGCGGGTTTTCCCTGCCTGGGAGCCAGCTGCTGGACTCCACTGGCGGAAACCTTGCTCACAGCTGCTGACCCAGCATGCTTTTTTGGTTTTTGTTTTCGTTCCACTTGGGGTCCGGTTGCCTGCTGCTGTGCCCTGACCAGGACCTCTCCTGTGGGGCTGACAACTCACCCATGGCTGGAAGGGGGTGAATGGACCCAAAGCATCTTAGGTACCTTCACCTACACTCCTTTACCAGGCAGAGCTTCAGTTCCCGTGTGAGCCTGGCGCATGGCAGAGGATGGAGCAACCAGGCTCCCACGTCTTTCATCATTTTCTGGTCTCTGTGTGTTCAAATAGACCTTTGCTGGGTGCAGGGTGCTTCACTTGTCCGAAAGTGTTCAGGACATCTCTGTCTGTTGGCATCATGGTCCCTCCTCTTCGCCTTGCTTCGCGAGAGTGGTGGTGCCAGGCCACTGCTTTCCACTGACCATCTTGGACCCCCCCCAGGACTGGCCTGAAATTCTTAAGTAATTCTGAGAAAAGAGAAATCAGTATGAATTAGATTAATCAGAAGTTTCATATATGAAATGGGCTTGTATAATAATAATGACAAGCAATATTTTGTGAAATTTTACTTCATGTTGGCATTGTCCTTAGCATTTTACATGCATTACTCAATTCAGTCACACAGAGAGTAAGTAACTTGCTCAAGTCACCAATCTAGGAAGAGGTGGAACCAGGATTCACACCCAAGGAGTCTGATTCTAGAACCCACTCCACAATTCTCTCATTCTTAAGAAAGAGAGGGATGAACGAATGGTATTAAGTCCCTGTTGTGAGTTTTTGGGAGAGTTATGTTTTTTTATATTTCTAAGATTGTGTATGAGATTTTAATAGTGTGCCATGACAATCATAAAACCTTAAGGTGAACTTGTTGCATATATGTAAGCTTTAAATGTTATGTACTGACTTTTAATTTTTTTCTCCTATGCCTATAGTTTTCACAGAAGTCAGTGAGAAATAATAATTTCTTTCTTTCTTTTTTTTTTGAGTTAGAGTCTCTCTCTGTCACCCAGGCTGGAGGGCAGTGGAATGCCTCTCGGCCACCACAGCCTCAACCTGCTGGGCTCTGGCCTTCCAAGTAGCCAGAACTACAGGTGTGTGCTACCACACCCAGCTAAGTTTTGATTTATTGTAGAGACGAGGTCTCACCAAGTTGCCCAGGCTGGTCTTGAACCCGCGGGCTAGGGCAATCCACTTGCCTCAGCCTCCCAAAGTGCTGAGATTACAGGCTGAACCACCAAGCCCACCCAGAAATTATAATTTCTTATCATCGCTGCTCTTATATTCTGTTTTTCAGGAGAGCTACCACATAAATCAAGATACGTTTAAGTTTACTTTTGTTCAAATCTGCAACATGTAAACTGTTGCAGTTATAACAGCATGAGTACATTTTGAGCATAAAAGAGAAATAAGCATATTTGGCACTTGATTTTACCGTACATTGTTGAGCATATCAGGGCTCTCATCTGCTCTCTTGTAATGAAGTTTCTAATGTTTTTATTTGGTAGCATCAGAGCCTCAGTGCCATTGTACAAGACATCGAAGAAAAACAAGAAAATTTATTAGAGTTTGAAATAAGAAACCCTGAAGATGCAGGTAAATATGGACTCATACTTAAGTATGATTATTTCAGACAGTCAAGGTCATTACTATCACTTCTTTGTAAGGTACATGTTTATTTCAAAACTCACAGTGGCTGAAGAAGTGTTTTTCTATTTTCATGGGAGGGGATTTAAAGCACCAGAAATTATAATTAAAAGTTAATGATGCAAACCAGTAGTTTGTGTAATTGTTGATAAAGATGCTTATAGTGTGTGTAATTTCAGAGACATTCCTAACTACATTCATAGATAAGCTACCACTGGTGATATGTTTCGGTGAAGCAATGACAAGGAGCACAAGCCAGGACCTAGAGATGCGATGGTTTTGCCCCTTTGGCTCCTCAGCTTCCTCCACCTATGCTAACCCTTAAAAACACATCAGAAGAAGAACGTGCAGTGGTGACACACGTAAAGCAAATCCACATACTTTTGAGAAGAGTACATGTATCAGGTGGACATCTTACCGCAAAAATATCTTCCTGTTTAAAAAACACTGTTGATTCAAAATAGCAGATTAGACTTTGATCCCTGACCTAATCATCTTCATTTGTCAAAACTTTAGTGAATATTTGTAGGCCATTAATGACTCACAGGCATATTTTCTTGAGTTATGATTTATAAGGTAGAAAGTTGCTCCTGATAAATTCACTGAATCTGAATTATAAAAGTAGTTAGCTAAAAGTAAAGTAATTTAAGATACTTCATCCATCTTTTGTATAGCAAGATGGAACTGTTTGTACATTTCTTATCCTAGCTTGTGTTTGTATAGCCTTTAAAAATTTTTTCTTCTTTTAAATTACACCCATTCTACCTTTTATCCTGGCCTAATATGTGGTACATGTTACGTTTTGAAGAAAATAACATAAAATAATTCATACCCCCAAGCAACTATGTACAGTTAGTATATTTTATTTACTACTTATAATATCTTAGGCATCTAAGATTGTTTTCCAAGTTGTTAATTTTTTTCATTGTGAAAGGCATATAGGTTCACTTCAAAAAACAATAAAGAGAAAAGAATGCTACCCCACCACAAAATTTTGTTGTATCTGTTTTGTTTTTAAGCCTATTTTATTGGGTCTAAGAACATAGTTATACAACTAAACCTCAATAAAACTGCTGTAAACGTAGTTTGATCATGTGAGGTTTTGCTATATTTGCATTATTTTTTTCTATATCCTTCATTTGTAGTGGTTACATGGTATTCTGTTCAAGAAATTTTCCATACTTTACTAAATTTTTTCCTTTTTCTTGAGCATTAGATTATTTCCAATTTTTTGCTGTTATGCTACAGCATGTATTATAGCTTTTTCTGATTTATGATTATCTTTTTAGGAAGAACTAACAGAGCTGGAATTATTGGGCCAAATTATATAAGCATTTTAAAGTCTATTGGTTGGCATTGATAAATTGTATCATACTGATTTTCACTTCCACCAACACACATTAGTGTTTCTTTTTGTATATGCTGCTAGTAGCATCAGTATTTTCATTTTTATAACTTTATTAATTTAGTAAGAAAAATGCGCTTCATGTTTTCATTTGCTTTGTTGATTATTAGTGGTTCTTTTTTCACTAGTTTTATTTCTTATTTTGTGAATTTACTATTCCTATTCTTTGTTTACTCATAAATTGGAGCCTACTTATATAATAAAATTATTGACCTCTTTTCCTCCGTAACTGTTACAAATACTTTTCAGTCACTTGACTGTCTTTTTACTGGTAACATATATAAGTTTGTGTTTAACTATAAGAATTTTCAAATTCTGTATCGTAAAAATATGTCAACCTTTTCTTTTTCTATTTTTTTAAATACATCTAAAATTAGAAACTTTTCTTTCTACTACCCCAGGTTTTGTAATTTAATTTTATTCTATTATAATCAATACATTGAATAATAATGATCCCTTTATTTTTGTCTCACTGCCCCTTGGGGAAAGAGAGGTAAGGTGATGGCATCGAAAGTTCTTGGATGGTAGCTACACTAACTCTGGTTGGCTCTGCCGCTCTCTGACAGATGTTTAAACTCAGTCTCTGGAGAGCAGTTTTCCAAGACTGTTCTAAAACTTCTACGTTCCCTATCAGTCTGGAGCTCATTTCCCTTTCCTTGGGCCCTCTCAGTTTTCTCCTCTTCTCTTCTCAGTTTCTATTGTTTTCTAGTGAGCCACCCTACATAGACTTTTTTTTTTTTTTTTTTTTTATGATGCAAGCCCTTGCATGGCAATCCAAATTTATTGAACTACGGACGCTAAGTTATACAAAATTGCACCACTTTAATTAAAACTTTAGTTTACATCTGGCCACCTCTGAGTCGTCATAACATGAGAATGGTCAGCTTCAATACTATGGCTCCCTGTTGGATAGACACACAATCTTTACACCCAAACGGTCATGCATACAGAGCAGCAAGACATTGCGAAATACAACAGCAAGAGTTACTGCAAGTCAGGCCTTGTGACCCGCCACACATGATCAAAATGACTTCCCACACTCACATCCACGGTACTTGTCCACCACTTAACATCTCCACCAGAACGTTACACGTGTGAAACGATCACTGACAGGCAAAGATATGCACCTGTGTACTTGGTATTGCAAGACACATACGCATGAGCAAGCAAGGGTTCACAGTGAGAATCTACCTCCGCGGAGGCCTGGAAATGATTTACAAAACTGCTGCACAGACTCTTTCCTCAGACGGAAGCCCGCGTAGGCAGGCTCGCGGGGCAGGCTTCGCCAGTCCCCAGGGCCTTTGCCCCTCCGACCCACAGTGAGGAGGACGGGGATTTCCCAGCCAGCTGCAGCTTTCTCTTTCCCTGCTGTGGAAGTGCCTCCCTCTTCAGGGTCTTGGCCTCCAGGTTCAGGGAGAAAGCTGACCCCAACCCATCGTCACTTCAGCCAAGTTCAGTGACGCTCTCTTAACAGCCCTGGGAGGAACTGCCCCATCGGGCTTGAGGTGAAGGAGAGGCACCCCTCCTTCCTCCCTCCTCACGCTTGCTGCTTAGTGTGGAGATTCCTGCTCAGCGCAGCAACTGCTCTCTAAAGAAAGCGCTTTTCAGACTCACCCCCCTCCACATTCAGACACTTTTTATGTCTTTGATCTGGCTGAGGGATACAAGGGAAATGAATTCCATTTGTATATTTCCTTAAAAATTTTTCGTGTAGAGGTTATGCGTTCACTTTGTTGTCAGATGTCTTTAGTGCCTCAACTGAACTGAGGCAGAAATTAGCCATTTTAAACTTCAATATATTTTCTCTAAACATTTAGCATATAATTTGTCTGAAATTTTTTTCTGTATATGATATAAGATAAAGAGAGAAGGGGATTTTTTTCCGTATTGCTACTCCATTGACTTAGCCTTGTTTGTTGACTGATTCCTCTCATCCTGGTTGTTTTGTAATGCCTCACTATCATGCTAAAGTCTTATGCATCTTAGGACAATTTCTAGTTTCTCCTTACCATACCATTGATTAATTTGATATCGACTCTTTAATAAAATATATAGTATCAAATTATACATAAGTATCTATATTCCTTCTTCTAGAAACCTGGAATATTTTCAGTTATGGTGATGTTATTTTTACATGTGCCTTAAAATTCAGTTAGGAAACTCCATTTGACAGGTCACATTGGTAATTTAAATATCTTTTAATAAACAGTGACAGGTTGGGCACAGTGGCTCACACCTATAATCCCAGCACTTTGGGAGGCCAAGGCAGGAAGACTGCTTGAGTCCTAGAGTTTAAGACCAGCCTACGCAACATAGTGAGATCTCATCTCTACTAAAAATTTAAAAATTAGCCGGGCATGATAGCATGCGCCTGGAGTTCCAGCTACTCAGGAGACTAAGTGGGAGGATCACCTGAACCCAGGAGGTCGAGGCTGCCGTGAGCCATGATTGTGCCACTGCACTTGAACCTGGGTGATAGACTAAGACCCCAGTTAAAAAAAACAGTATCAAGTCTGTTGAACAACTGTATATCTAAATTTTTAATGACCATACATATTTTCCCCCTTTGTGAGCATATGCACATATTGTGAAACAAATCCTTTGGCATAGTATTAAGGGAGATAGAAACTACTCTGGGGATACTGCCTCTGTGCTTATCAAATCACTTGTCTGATTTGCCGAAGGAAGTTCTGAAACAAATTCCAACTGTGAACTTTGTGTCATTTTCTACCACAGATTTGTTCAAGTTAATTATCTAGAAAAATGTGCACTGGTTCCAAAAATTAGAAAAAACCTTAAGAAACAAAGCCAAAAGTGAAACAAATAGCAAGTAGCTTAAAAGAAACAATATTTATTCATTGAACCCTTTCAGTTTTCTACTTGGGAATTTGGATTTGGACATAATCCAAATTTACGTGTAAATCCTGTGAATTTACGTAGAACAAAGGAAGAAAGTAGGAAAAACTTAAGTAATTATTGTAATAGCAAGTTTGTAAGATCCACAAGTGACCTTTAGGTATCATGTAGTACTGTCTATAAAAGACCAAGGACTGTTAGCATGATTCTAATTTTTTAGTGCATATCATATATAATCATATATAGTATAAATATTTAAAGCCATAAGTTAAATAAATACATAAAATACATTTTATACACACATCCCTAAAATATTGATAGCTACCTCCTTTGTAGAATAAAATAGAGGAGAAACAAGGTTAAGCGGGGGATATTCTTCCCATCTTTGAAAACGTTTATATTGTTTTTAAAATTTTATAATGTTCATATATTCCTTTTGTATTTTAAAAAGTAAATAATTTGAACAGGCAAAATATATCCTACTACCTTCATTTCAAAGATAAGAAAGTTGACCCTGGAGGTCATATGACCTATCCAGGATCACAAGACTTAGTCAGTGGGGCAGCAGGGTTAGTGCTCAGGATGACCTGCTCTTTCTTGGTACAGTGGAGTGTCCTTACTTATACATACAAGGGCATTTCCATTTAGTGATGTTATTAAATAAGCCTTGATTCAATTGTATTGGGGAAGAGAATAGGGAATGATGGCTTTTAAAAATTAACAGTAGGGCTAAGTCCTATATGATCAAATTTAACATTTGCTATCCCCCAATTGACTAACTTATTTTATTACCATGTTTCTAGAGCAATATATTGCAAAGATGTTAAGGATAAAAGAGGTTATGGATGGTGTGCTTGCCAAACAGAAAGCAGAAAGGGATGATCTGGCTAAAAAATACAGGTGAGTGAAAAAAATGGGAGTATGTTAGAGTTTCTAGAATTTATCAATTTTGAGCTGCAGTAGTTAGGTCTAGAATTTGTTAAGAATACAAACATTGGCCAGGCGCTGTGGCTCAAGCCTGTAATACCAGCACTTTGGGAGGCTGAGGTGAAGGGATTGCCAGAACCCATGGGTTCGAGAACAGCCTGGGCAACTCGGCGAGCCCTCATCTCTACAATAAATCAAAAAATTAGCTGGGCGTGGTACCATGTGCCTGTAGTTCCTGCTACTTGGAAGGTTGAAGCGGAAGGATCGCCTGAGCACAGCAGGTTGACACTGGGGTGGTTGTGAGCGTGCCACTGCACTCCAGCCTGGGTGAGGAGTGGGACTCCAACTCAAAAAAACAACAACAAAAAAATACAAACGTTGCTTAGGACCAAAAAATTACTTACGAGGTGTCTAATCTGTTACCTTCATGGGAAATTATACTTCTCAGAAAGATATTTTCTACTTTGTTACTTTATTTTTTTTTTTTTTTTTT